GTCTAAACCATCACTAGGCTGATTCATTTTCCACCCTAGTTTTCTATTTTGCTTTCACAGGTGACACTTGACTCCGTTGGATACGAACCAGGTTTAATTCTCTGTTTTTTTTCCTCCATTGATGTTTTGACTTCTTGTGTTGGCAAAATTAAAGAAGATATAGAAAATAAAGAGAGAGAGAGAGGTGGGAAAAATATTGTGACACTTTGACAACTAAGAGAAATAAATCCTCTTCCCTCATTCTTTTTTCTTTGCATTTCCCCCTTTGGGAAGTTCATAATGGAGTGCACATCCTGTTTGCACTCACCACCTGGCTTCACTTCTAAGCAGAGTAATTTGGTAGTGACTTCAGTTCTCCAGAAGACATGCAAAATACACAAGGCTAGAAAAAGAACTGAGTAAAATGTCAAAGCTTCCCACCTCTGTGTTTGGTGCTTTTTCATATCGTGCCTGAATTACCAGGTAACTGAATAAAGAGATTTCTAACAGCATTTCAGAAAACGATACTAAATAACAGAGAAATTTAACAAACAGGATGGAGAACGTCTTACCATAACAACCGCTTGTGCCCGGTCCGTTTATGCCAGACCCAGTAAATCCTGGACTACAGTAGCAACCTGGGATTGCATTACGAACTTCACATTTTGCATGCTCATTGCACGGAACGGTGCAGTTCTGTGAGGCCCAACTCAGGTCCACTAGTGTGGAAATAAACACTAAACAGAATTAAAAAAATAAATAAATGTCAGCTTTGTATATGTCAGTCATGGTCTCTACTCTAAATGCAGTTTTGTGTTAATATTGAGAAGAAGGACTGGCTTCTTCTCTATAATGGCATTACAAGTCTAGACCTCATCTATGTGTATACATATTTAAGCTAATTTATATATGATTATTAAAATTGTGAACCAGTGCTGGGTTCCAACACTGCTGGTTAGGGGGCAATTTCCCACTGCAGCCCCTTGTTTACCATTAAAACCAGAGCTGGAAAATCCTCTGGAATCAGTTTTTGGCCTGTGCGATATGTGGGGAGTTGGAGTGAAGGAGAGAAGAGGAGGGAAAAGTGGCAACCACCGCTAGGGCCCTGGAATTAGCTGTGGGGTTTTCGATATATGAAACTATGTTGAAGCAGCAGCTACAAAATATATCCTGGAAACACAGATAATGATGAGAGAGAGAGAGAGAGAGAGACAGAGAGAGAGAGAGAGATATTCAAATAAGATGTACAAGGATTCCTGACGTTTCCATAAACTTGGCCAAACACCATATATGGTAGAAGAGGCAAATAAACATGTGGATTTCCACTTGACAAACACTTCAAAATGGCCTATTAATATAATCCATGCAGCATTGTGGTATATGGAAGGGGACACTTTGGTGCTTTAACAACATTGTTTTTGGACTCTTATCATTTTCGCAAGAATGTGTGGTAGGCTAGAGATAAAACGAGCTGATGCACCTTTTTTTGGGGGGGAGGGAAATGTTGTAATGGACTGCACATGGGGTTTCAAATTCTCCCTAGATTTGTCACAAAAAGTTGTTTTTCAAAATGCTTCAACTATGCCATTCTATTATGTTCTGTAGATTTTATAAATTACTACATTATGATATTTCAACAAGATACAATATATTACTACATTATGATATCGAATTACCATTTTGTGTAAGCCACTACCTTATAAATGAAGAATCACAAATAACCTTTACTGAATATATCACCATGTTAAGTATATTAGCACAAAGGGGAAAAGAGAACTATACGCATTCTGAAGCATTGTGACCCTCTTCATTCGGTGGAGCTTAGTCTCGAGTAAGAGTTGTTAGGGCTGCAACCCAAACTTCAGAAAAGAATAAGTTAAGACCAATTTTTTATTTATTGAATGCACCTGCATATCACTCTCTTGGATCATCGTCTTTGCGTTCCAAGGCTAAGATTAATTACTGCAGGAAAAACAGAGGCTGCTTCCTATGAATAATAATGACCGAAAATAGTTTAAAGGTTAGGATTAAACAACTTTGTAAATATATAATTCTGTTCTGTTCTTTTCCTCTATTGCAGCATGTATTATTAATGTGTTTCTTTCCTACAGAGAACTTCTTAAGATTCTTTTTTAAAAAATCTGGCTGTTTGTGTGATATGCTTTGGTTTGACAAATTGGGTAACATTACATAGCAGTGTTTCACTACAATAGCATATTTATCTTCTCAAGGCACAACATTCATTTAAGACAGTGGTATTCTTGCCATGAGGCTCAGTGAAAATTTGCATGTCCATCTCTGCCACCTATTTGGAGTTTTCTGCTTTAAATGGGCTTCTCAGATCCAGAGACTGCCATAATTGGACACCGGACTGCCATTACTGGAAATCAGAATAACCTCCAAAAATTCTCTGCCTGCCCTTTTCCTGAGACCTGACCACCACATTTTCCCCAGTTGCGTATCAGTCTTCTTAATTGTGAATTTCGTTGTATGGGTATACTGTGTATATACTTACAATGACAATAAATTATATTATTATTATTATTAACTCTAATCCAGAAAGCAAATTCACTTACCTAGGAGCAGCAGAAGTTTTGTGGGTGGTGTTTCTACCAAATTCTCATTCTTGAGTCCTTTCATGATGGCAGTCAAAGTGGTCCTACTCGAGAGGGTGCGATCAGGTGCAAAATGTCCACACATGCCTACTAGAAAGGTGAAATCCCACGAAAGCTGCTGGTCTTATGCTATCATTTGTCCTTAGATAAAGGGTTGCAAATCCTTTAAGGGGAGGATAAAGGAGGTGCAGATGGTGATTAGAAAATCAGCTGGGAGGTAAAAGAAAGAAAAACTACAGAAAGGTTGATAAAACTAACAAAGGAATGTGAGTGGGGGAAGGATCTGAGCAGGAGATATACATGAGCACTGAATTTGAGCAGATGAGTTGTTAAGGACCACATTGAGCTCAGAAGAGAGACACAGGAAAGAGAGACAGGGGAGTTGAGGGGGGACCATGAACCTATCCTGCTCTTGGAAGGTCACCTCAGTCTCAGGAAGCTGTGAGAAAGAGGCTAAGGACAGGAAAGAATCTTAAGCAGAGGCACAAAAGTTGTAAACTTCCTACGGCCTTTGCCTGAGGGTGGTGGTTGAGCACATCAGAGCTCTAGCATCCCAGTAGGATTCGGGGGAATTGGTGTTTGCTTCTGTTTTGTTGACTGCTTTTCAGGATGTCCCAGCTGCTGTCTGAAGTTCTGTCACTTTAAGAGCGGCAGCATGAGAATGAGCTACAGGAAATCCACTGAGATTTCTTTTGTGTGGAAAACAAAGATATAAAGCCTTAGGAGGAAGAAGGCAGGAAGCTGAATGTGAGGCAAGGAATGTCAGGGCCAGCAAGAAAGTGAGGGAGCTACATTTGACAGTTGAGGCCCTGAAGAGTGTGATGTAATATTAATTAGAAGGCAAAAAGTATGGCAAAGGGTCCGTGCTTTTTATGTGGGGTGAGACAAATATTCCACTAGAAGTAGAAGGAGAAAAGAATGCATGTATGGACATATATATCCTGTGTAGGTGGATCCAGAATATATTTTATTCCCTGTTGTGGGTTATTTGGAATAAGGTTTTTTAAAAGGAGTTCCCTATAAATCTTTTGTTAACACAGTACACTCCTATCCATTTGTACTCAGAAGCAAGTCAGCATCATAACTCTGGCCTGCCTGCTCTACTTACATGTCAAGAATTTCTCCACTAGATTTGTGAAAGTCAGGAGCACATGAGGGCAAGGGGAGCCTGAAGCTTGCCCTTCTTGTTGGAAAGCATGCTGCTGAAAGCGGTGTAAAGCAAAAACATCCTTAAAATTATAGAATCCAGGCATAGTTTCTCTATCGCTTCACATGGATTCCTGCCAATGCCCCAAAGCAAGACAGATATACTGCTTTCCTTCCTGCTGCATTTCTAAAATGTAAACATGTCCAAGGGCTTCCTAGTTCTGCTGTGTACCAGATTCTACAATTTGGACTGGGCTTCTATCTGATTCAGGTTGCTTTAAACCTCGTGGACTCAAGACCAGTTAGAAATTCAAAAATTGAAATTCATCAGTGATTTGCTTTGGGAAACAAAAATGCACCAATTATTATTTTTCCCCTTTTTCACATCAGTGAAGGACATTTGAAGTTGTGGTAGCATTGTCAAGTGTGGCTTAACCTTGACAAACTCAAATGGATAGGCTAGGGAGGTTTGTGCAAGCCACCATTAAAGGTTGCCTTGATGAGTCTAAAATGTTCTATCACTGTCCTGCCGAAGTGTGCACATTTCCTATGTGCCCGGATTTATGTTTATACATGTAACTTGCACCCAGCAAGGACAGATAGAGACTCAAAAGAAAAAAAGCGAAGACAGAGTGAAATCAATATGAATCCTGACTTTAAAAGTAAGTATTAAAAAAGGAAGATTTGAGGTGATGTTAGGAGGATGTCAGTGAGCTCCCGTCGCTTTGTCCCAGCTCCTCGCCAACCTAGCAGTTCAAAGGCATGTAAATGCGAGTAGATAAATAGGTACCATCTCGATGGGAAGGTAAAACGGTGTTCCCTAGTCATGCTGGCCACGTGACAATGGAAACTGTCTTCGGACAGGCGCTGGCTCTACGTCTTGAAAAGCGGGATGAGCGCCACCCCCTAGAGTCGGACACAACTGGACTAAAAATGTCAAGGAAGATCTTTACCTTTACCTTAGGAGGATAAGGGATGCACTACTTCCCGAGAGAACTACTTCTAAAACAGTATCAGTACTGTCCAGCATAGGAACACCTTAAAAGAAACAACAAATATAAATGCTATGGAGAGGTGAGACTAGATTGGGAAAATATTGTTGTTTTGAAGGTTGGATAGTGGTAGGTTGAATTAAGAAGAAACAAAGTTATAAGCACAAACTGCCAGAAAAGTTTTCTAGGTATAAAGTAATTAAAAGTGTACTTTTTTAAAAAAATGATTCCCTCCTTCTGGTGGTACTGTGGGTCTGGGCAGCTTGCCCAGGGCAAAATGTGTAACCCCCTCAGCAGCACACACTCTGGGTGGTTCTCAGCTGGCCCCTCAGTGGAGATTTGAATTTGTGGCAGCCATTATTCCTACCCATGGAGCTAACCCCAACAAAACTATTTCAAAAATATCCATGCTCCTTATAGAGAACTAGGGTGGTTGGGGAACCTGAGAGGAAGAGGAAGAAAACTGATTCACCATCTACCTCCCACTGAGCCATATGATTGAGGAATGCTGCTGAGATTCTTGCATTGAGATGAGACTAGAAAACAAAACCATTCCACTGGGTGGAAACTCATCAGAGAGAGATCCAACCTGGAAATAAGGAGGAATTTCCTGATGGTGAGAACCATTAAGCACTGGAACAGCTTGCCTCCCAATCTTGTGGGTGCCCCATCATTGGGAGTTTTCAAGAAAAGATTGGACAGCCATCTGTCCGGGATGGTATGAGATCTCCTGCCTTGAGCAGGGGGTTGGACTAGAAGACCTCCAAGGCCCCTTCCAACCCTACGATGATTCTATGATTGGACTGGATCATCCTAAGAAAGGTCACTTTGAAGTGCAGTGTGGCTTTGAAACAAGAATCCACACTGCATCTCAGGCAATTCTTGTTAGCCCTTTGACCCATTAAAAGGAAAGGGAAAAAATAATAACAAAAATCCTCATTGTCTCCTTCTTTCTGCTCTTCCCTTGGATCTACCTTACCGCTGCCCCCCTCCCTCTATAGAAGCTGTCAATTCTGATGGCCACAGGGAACCACAGACAGAGGGGCACCACTTTCATCTGGCCTTTTTTTCAGTAGCCCCACCCAGATTCCCTGCTTTCTCTACGTCCTTAAAGCCTCTGTCCTAAAGTGTCATGAACCCCAGCTGCCAGAGCGCCTTTGGGTAGATCACAGGATGACCCTTGATAGCTGGTTTCTCTTATCTCTTCTCTGCTCCATTTCTACCCATCCTGCAGCATACTTGAAACATTTTTTCTAAGGATGTGCATTCAGATTGAGAAAAATTCAGAATTCATGAATAATGACATATTTGGATAGTTCGGAAAATATATACAAATCTGAATTTGATCGTTCCGAATATCTGTAATAATGATACCTAATATTCAGAGTCTCATTTACTCATATAGATTAGAAAGCTTAGGGCTAGGTTTCTCCGTGCCAGATGAAGAGGTAGAACTGAAACCTATTTTTCAGGCATCCTGGAGTGATTCTTGAGAAATGAAACTTAAGGACACTCTGGCATCAAGGATAGTAAGGGGGCAGAGAACTCAGTGTCTCCTCATTGACATCAAGGATAGTAAGGGGGCAGAGAACTGTGTCTCCTCATTGGTGTTGCCATGAGTTTCCCAAGGGAAGGGGCTGGGGTGAAAGCAAAACCTGTAAATTATTGCTATGAGTTTCCCAAGGGAAGGGGTTGGGGTGAAAGCAAAACCTGTAAATGATGTCTGTCTGCACAAATGAAATCCAGAAGCAGGCACAGATGCCAGAAGATACTATTTTCACATTGGTTCTTTCCAATTGAAAGATGGGCATAGCTGCTTATAAATCCCCATGGTTATTTGCTATTAGGATATTCTCTGGTGCAAGCCTGTGTACAGTAGTTTTCTCTGTCCTTTCCTGAACCCTCAACTTACATTTACATTCTCTACTTCTCCTGAATATTGTTTACTTAATACAGTTAGGAATAAGAGTTAGGATTTATAAATTCATAGGTTGATATGAAGCAAGGGAATAAGATTTTGTTATATATAACAGATCTGTGAAGTCAGCTTGAATAGTAGCAATGCTACTGCTATTGTGGCCTAGGGAAGCATGGAGGTAGATGGTCACAGTGTAATACCAGATTTATATTGGGGTACCAGGTAACTTGTGCAAGGCATAGATGATATATTTGACAAGTGACATATGGAATAGCCAGGATGCAAAACATGCATATATCTCCCTCACAGGACACTGGCATCAGGCACAGGGTAACATACAAGGGCAGGATATGGGCCCTCTTGAATGTGGCTGTGATGGAGGGCAGGCACACAGCTCAGAATATTCAAGAGCTTCTGAGGGACATGCTGCAGCAGTGGAGTCTAGCTGTAAAAAGGCAAGGCCTGTTTGTTAGAGGTAATAGTCAAACATGGTGGCAGCACTGCAGGCTTGGAAGATGAAAGGGATGCAGTATATGGCCCATGCTCTCAATCTAATAGTTTGGGGAACACTATCCTGATCCAGGCTGGGAAAATCTGGCCATCTAGTCACTGAAGGAGTTTTTTGCACTTGATTTGGGCTTCATCCAATTCAATTCAGACCCAGTCCAGACCAATAAAAATATATTCTGGATTTGCCAAATCAGTAGAGTTGTGCAGTCCTGTTAAAATGGTTCTTTCCCTGATTTTGACTTTGTATCTATCCATTGCCTTTGATGTGGTCTACAGTCTATGAAATTTAGGTTTAATAACAAATGTTAGTCTTTCTGGTGCCACAGGATTTACTGTTGCTTTTATATACATAGATGTTAGGGTTGTTCATCAGATTTGGACAGATCCTAAATTCTGGACCAAATCAGGTCCAAATTCTCATTAATTAATTAATTAATTAATTAATCGGTCGATCGATCGATCGATCGATCGATCGATCGATTGATTGATTGATTCATATGTATTCCACTCCACTCTTCTGTGGTGGAATTTGAGGCAGTAATTCTGAGGGGATAGTTCTGAGATGATTTATGGCCAGGTAAAGTGAACCATATTTACAAATGGAGGCCCAAGTGAAGCATAAATTGAATTCAGTGATGCACAAAAAAATTCAGCCACTTTCTTTTCTTTTTCTGATAGAAAAAAAAAAGAGAGAGCTAATTTTAAAGTATGAAAACCAATGATGGCATATATCCAAAATTTACCAGCTTTGCTCCCCTAGCCCAATGTTTAGTTATCTGGCTGTGGAGTCAACGATTGGGAGTTTGATTTGCCCACTATGCCTCTAGCAGGTAGAGCCAACCTGTGTGGCCTAGGGCAAGCTGCACAATCCCGGAGCATCTCCAAAAGAAGGGAATGGTAAATCACTTCTGAGTATTCTCTAACCTGAAAAAGGTTGATATAAGTCAATGATGGCACATGATAATTACGATTAAGTCTATCATGTATCTAGACCTATTATTATTAGGTTTATTAATGTATCCTAGTGCAAAAGCTAAATAAACAAGCATTATTATTATTATTATTATTTATTATTATTATTATTATTATT